TCCACAACAACAGGATCAGCCTCAGCCAGTTCTTTTGGGGTTCCCCTTCTCAAAGCGTTTGTTGCCCCACCATCCAAAAGACCTGTGGGTCCATCAGGAGCATTCACCCTTTTGATTTTGACAGCTTTGGCAACCGGTTTAAGGGTTTTCAGGAGGGTAGCGGCTTCACTCAACAGCCCAGTGACCCTTTCAGGAGTATTTTCTCCCCCGTCCCCAGTTTCCGGCCCAGTCCTGTACGCAGTTTCAGATCCAAGTGACTTCTCTGCTGCAGCAACATCCCCAGTAGTTTTTTCAGGGCTACTATGTTCCCCAATACCCTTCCCATACTTTTCGGGGGTCCCTTTTCCACTTGGTTTTGACACTTTGGCAACCCTCTTTTTGGTGGGATCAGGTTTTGAGTCAGACCCTGCATTTTTCAAAGGACAATCACGTTTGGAATGGCCGACAGCAGAACAATTGAAACATCTGTTGCTTTGGGGATCCAAATTGGCATGACCAAAAGAACATTGATCGCCCCTTTGACACCCCTTTTCACTCATCCAATACCTACAAGGCTTTCTTTTTGAGTTCGGAAACCTTTGATCCGATTCATTTTGGGGGTTTTGGGAACTTTGAGGATTTTGAGAGATCCCAGGAGGCGGTGGCACACCCAAAGCAGCAGCCCTCACAGCCGAAGTTGCCTTCGCAGGCGTGCTCAAAGTCAGCTCTTCAGCTTCAGCTTGCAGATGCTCGGAGTAGCTCAAGATCGTCTCTGCTGTCGGCAACTGATCCACATCCACATTCAACTGCTGGCGGATCATGTTGAGACGATATGCCACTTGTGGGGATTTTCCACTCAAAACATCAGTACATTTGTTCAAAGCCCCTAACAAAACCAAACCATCAGGCAACGTGACATGGAGTTCCCTGGCCCTTTGAACAAACCGTCGCCAGGTTCGAATCCAGTCCAAAACTTCATGAACATTGGAACCACATTTGGAGTCCGTGAGGTTCTGCAACAACTTTGTGCGTTCAGTGGCACCTCCCGGTTGGAAGATGATGCACAACTTGTACAACACTTGGTCAGTGGTCAGTTTGCGAGCTGAAATCACTTCTTCTTTGATGGGGTCAGGAATGGCTCCCAAAAGCATAGCTAAGGCCCTTCTTTCCGTTCGAGGCCACAATTGAACCCTAGGATCCACTTGTGGGCGAAGCCTAAGCCTTTCAATTGGTCCAACATTCAACCAATCCCTGTAACATTGATCAACAGCTCCCCTGACCATGGTCCACCAATCCCCCGACGAGTAAGACAAGTCACCCATGAGAGAATCGATGATGCTGAGCCAATCACCAAATTGCAGAGCAGTGGCATCCATTGACAACTTCGGAAGCTCCACCGTCCTGAGATTTTCAGATGGATTTTCACCACCTGAGTTTTGCAAGGTTCCTGCCACAGACGCAGGAAAAGGCGGCAGTGCAGGTGGCATTTGAGGTGTTACCGACCCTAACCCACATACACTATTCAACATTCTTGGCGGCGATGGTGGTGGAGGTCCAGGTGGTGGCCTAGGCACAAATGGTTCAACAACATTTGACACAGTTGGCACAACAACTTCAGGTGCAACCCTCGTGAACGTCACAGCCTTTTCAGGTACAACCCTCACATTTGGATCATGAACCAATTGGGATTCAACCACATCATGAGATTTGGGGGCAACATGTTCCTGGAAATCCACTGCCGAAACATATGAACTTTGGGAACCATGCGACCCTTTTTCGTTCTCATGTTTTTCAACCCTTGACTCCTTAGCACTCATCCCCATATTCAACAAACCCTGCCGAAACTTTTCTTCAGCATCTCTCAAACAACGCAATCGGAACAGTTCAATTGGATCCATTTCAACATCAACACTTTCCCTTTGTCCCACATGAACTTTTTGGGGTGTCGACGCATTTGAACCCGGCTGCAAACCCAAGGCACTCACATCGTACCCAGGCCCGAATGCTTCTCGAACAGCTTCACGCTGCTGAGTTTCGCTCCAGAAGGGATTCACAACACTCCCCATTTGGTCTGGAACCACAACAACATTTTCGGTGCCCTGAGGCGCCACAACAACGGCTCCGGAGCCCCGAGGCCCATCACCTATGTAAAACCTTTGAACCCCTGAACCCTTCACATTGGAGCCCTGAGGCATGGTTTCACTCACAACACCCGAACCCTTTCCAGTGGGACCCGGTGACACATTTTCACAACTCTCAGAACCCCTCACATGTGAGCCCTGAGACACATTTTCACAACCAAAACCCCTCATGCGTGAGTCTTGGGACACAGTTTCACAACCCTCAGAACCCCTCACATGTGAGCCCTGAGACACATTTTCACAAACAGAACTCCTCATTCGTGAGCCCTGCGACACAGTTTCACAAACAGAACCCCTCATTCGTGAGTCCTGCGACACATTTTCAACACCCTCAGAACCCCTCACACGTGAGCTCTGCACATCCCGGTTTGAGTGTTGTGCTTCTGCGGCAACATTTTTCCTACCAGACTCAGAGCCAGACCCCTTTCCCTTACCAGCACCATCTCTAGGACTATGTTCATTCACAATCCCCTGCACTGGTTCGGTGGTAGTTCTATGCCCCTCATTTGGTGGGTTCCCAGTTTGTTGCTCTGTCACAACGACCCTTTTGACACCAGGTGTGTTTTCAACATTTTGTTTCACCTCGAGGTTTTGCATTCCCTTAGCTCCCTCAACTAACATGGGCGGCTTGCCAGGGGAAAAAGACAACGGAGGTCCTACAGGCCCAAGAGCATCCAACATACCCCCACTATTCACAGGTTCAGTGGTATTAGGTTCACCAGTCAGAGCTCCAACGGACCCACCAGTTCCGGACCCAGCAGCTTCTTCCAACATCTCCTCCATCAGGTCGTCTGCGCAGCCGGCAGCTTTCACAGCGCTAACAGCAGCAGCAGCTCTTCGCTGAAGGGAAGACTCACGGCGACCAGCAAGCTCCATGTCAGCTGAGATCCCTTGGGCTCATAACCCGTGGATCAACAGCTGAATCAGCAGCTGCTAGGCAAGACCTTTTTCGTCTCGCCCTTGAGCCAACTTTCGTTGGCTTGAGCCATTTTGCAATGGCAGTCACGTGTCATCCTTGTGCAGTGGCCATGCTATGGTTCATGCATGCCACCACATGTCAACTTCTAAGTTTTTAAAATCCACAGCAGCTGGTGGAATGCTTCATGAATCGCAGTTATCAATGCAGTCTTTGATTTGAGCCCTATTGGGATCTGGAAATAAGGATGCTGGGGTGTCCGGGGCGGTAGTCTTCTGGTTTCCCGGGAACCCCCAGAGGGGGGGACAACTTTTCCACTAACGTGTCTATTCTGGATTTTCATCTAACATGTCTCAAGTATAGGGCACTTATCATAGCCTATGTTCACAGCAACTAACGTATCCCAAAAAAAAACAAAAAAAAGTGGATACGTGTCTCGGGCGACCGTTTCAGGTATCAACTAACATGTCCACTCTGTACCGGCGTTTTCCTGGATTTCCTGGGGAAATGCATTGCAACTTTTTTTTGGACCATTGACCCAAAAACAGCTAACATGTCTCAGTTCCTGCAATTGGGGGCCCTTGGATTTCGACCCTGATCTGGGATATGTTCGCTATTTTTGGGGAATAGAGTCAGCCAATAACCACTCACATATCTCAAAACCACATCCTCTGAACAACACGGACACGTTAGGTGGGCGCTTTCCATGGCCAGTCATCCAACCCTTAGTAAATGCAACTGGTTTTTGGAATGCACCCCCAATCTTCCTGCCCACCCACGCGCATCATCTATGATGCGCTCTTCCGGATGGAGTTGGGACCCCTTTTTTCTCCACCGTTTTGTTATCAATGCAGTCTTTGATTTGAGCCGTATTGGGGTCTGGAAATAAGGATGCTGGGGCGTCCGGGGCGGTAGTCTTCTGGCAGTTTCCCGGGAACCCCCAGAGGGGGGGACAACTTTTCCACTAACGTGTCTATTCTGGATTTTCAGCTAACATGTCTCAAGTATAGGGCACTTATCATAGCCTATGTTCACAGCAGCTAACCTATCCAAAAAAAGCACAAAAAATGGATACGTGTCTCGGGCTACCGTTTCAGGTATCAACTAGCATGTCCACTCTGTACCGGCGTTTTCCTGGATTTCCTGGGGAATGCATTGCAACTTTTTTTTGGGGACCATTGGCCCAAAAACAGCTAACATGTCTCAGTTCCTGCAATTGGGGGCCCTTGGATTTCGACCCTGATCTGGGATATGTTCGCTATTTTTGGGGGATATATAGACTCAGCCAATAACCACTCACATATCTCAAAACCACATCCTCTGAACAACACGGACACGTTAGGTGGGCGCTTTCCATGGCCAGTCATCCAACCCTTAGTAAATGCAACTGGTTTTTGGAATGCACCCCCAATCTTCCTGCCCACCCACGCGCATCATCTATGGTGCGCTCTTCCGGATGGAGTTGGGACCCCTTTTTTCTCCACCGTTTTGTTATCAATGCAGTCTTTGATTTGAGCCCTATTGGGGTCTGGAAATAAGGATGCTGGGGCGTCCGGGGCGGTAGTCTTCTGGCAGTTTCCCGGGAACCCCCAGAGGGGGGACAACTTTTCCACTAACATGTCCATTCTGGATTTTCAACTAACATGTCTCAAGTATAGGGCATTTATCATAGCCTATGTTCACAGCAGCTAACGTATCCAAAAAAACTTTTTTTCCACAAAAAAAGTGGATACGTTTGTTCCGTAGAGAGTAGCTCCTCCTAAAATAGGCCCGCCCCAGTAGACATTTTTCTTTAAGGTTCCACTCCACAGCCACACATAAACTCAAAGGTCAAATTCCGCCCGTTTTACAACGTCCTGCCTTTATACATTTGCTCACACTATTCTCTTCTAATCTTTCGAGTCTTACCATGCGTAGCTCATGCGTAGCTCATGCGTAGCTCATGCGTAGCTCATGCGTAGCTCATGCGTAGCTCATGCGTAGCTCATGCAGCTAGTGCTTTTGGGCAGCATGCTACTGAAAACCATGCGCTGCTCAAGCCCAGCTTAGAGAAAATGATCAGGGGTGACGATGGAAGCTCCTCGCACCCTCAGGCGCTTTGTGCTCCGAGTTGTCATGTCACGTCAAGATGTTGTTCCGTTTTGTTCCGTTTTGTTCCCCCCCCTTTGCCGGTTTTCTTTCACTTTCCAACAACTCAGGGCATTTGCAGACCGACCTGGAACAGGTGCGAAGCTACAATTTGTCACGCAGTCATGCCACGTCTTGCCCCGTGGCTTTGCTGCCTCAACTGTTGACACAGGTCCAGGCATCATTTACAGAAGCCACCCCTCGCCAGCAAGAGTCTCGCGGCCAGATTCTCAACCCGTCCAAGTTTCCTTTCGCGACGTACACCGTATAACAACTTGTTCCGACATTTCTGGACTGAATGACTTTTTTGGTTTGCTTGTCATAGACATAGGTTAAATTCTTTGGTTCCTCCAGTCGCTTTGTGTCTCGCTGGGGTCGCGCTTCAGAAAGGGGTTCAAGGTGAACAAGGTGAATCGCTTAGGTCAGAGGCAAATTTTACGAAAGATGACAATTCGAGGCAACTTTTGCTGCGCTGCTCACATGTGCTCACATTGCAGATCACATGCAGATGTGAAATCATGCCGCCATCTATGTCTGATCTTGCTGAGCTGGAATGTGATCCGCCACTGCTATGTTTCGTGCAGGTTTGCAACGTTTGCCCCAGGATGCTCAGTGGGTGGATTGCGTTGTGACAATGTGGAAACACCATGCAAGGCTGTGCAGACGCATGTCTCACAGTGTTCTCATCGCATAATTGAAATTGGCGCTAGGAGCAGAAGGTTCTCACGTACAATATGTGTCCACGGTGCACAGTGACTGGGCTAAAGCGCAGGCCAGGGCTGTGTCCAGAAGAACTGAAGGGCGCAGCCTCGCAACAATCCATGGCTCTCGCAACATCTCGCATTGGTCGTCTCACTGGTCTAGGTAGTTCATCCGGCACATGGTGTGCAGCTGGACAAGCCTTCTGTTGGATCTGTTGGCGGAGTTCGGAGAGCTACGCAGCTCTCTCCACAGTCCGATTCAACGTGCAGGTTTGGGCCATCGATGCTGATGGATTTTGATAGGGCAAGGGAATAGAGTACGAAATTCGGCAAATCAAGGGAAATCAAGAAACGGTTCAGAAGCAAGGAATCAACAGAATGAACACTGGCCGAAAATTAAAACAAAAAGGTTGTGTGAAAAAAAAGTGTCGCTCTTTCACTTGCCCAACTTGCGTGCCAGGTTTGCCCAAGACCCTGAGGCCAGGGAAGGGTGGTATGGAATGTTGTTGTCTTGAGGGTGAAACAGGTTGAACAGGATCGAGCCCCAAGAGCAGCAGACTGTTTTCTTCTACCAGTATTGCAGTGGGTCTTGGGGTCAGTCTGCAGAGCCCCCTATTGGGGCTGCAAGCACCCTAATGTAGGCTCTAGGTAGGATCCAGATGTACCTTGGTCATCATTGGTCCAAGTATGGTATGTATGGTTAGATTCTCACGAGTTTCAAAGCCTTGATGACGTTGCTCGAACCAGTCGACAGTTGTTTGTAACCGCCAGAGCTGAACCGGCCTTTGCAATCACTAACGGCGGCTGACAGGTCAAGAGTCGGCCTCTCACAGTTTTCCCAGCCCCTCGCCTGTCGGTCAAGGCATTCGCACTTTCACAGATTGAGATTGAGATACTAGGGCTTACTGTAAATTATTTCTTGAAGCAGCTGCAATTGCCATGTCTTTGTTTGTATTTGGCATGACATTTTGATATGACATTCTGTTACGCAAGTCCGGCTGACACAGGCTGTGACCAGTCCGACGGCCAATGTCAAGCCCTCACCAAGGGCACCTTGCATAATCTGCTAGACAACCCCCTTGAGAGCCGTGCTTCCAACATGTTGTACATTTAAAAAATGGTGTGAGCCAGTTTAGGTTCTTCGGGTGCTTTGATATATTTTGATATTGCTGCTTTGGTTGTAGCTACAGCTGGAAGCAGTGCACAATGTTTGTCAGCTTTGCCTTTCACGGCTTCATTTCTCTTGGTCATGCAACATGAGAACACATCAAACCTGGACACACCCGCCAAATGAGAAGTGAGGGCGCCAGAAGCTAGAATCAAAAAAAGAGTTGATCAGGAATCAGCCATGACAAGCAAATTAGATTTGGTCACAAAGGCTGGAGCGACTTACTTTCAGCCGCCGTGTGCTTCCATGAGCCCGAAGCGGCAGCCGATCCGAACAGAGGCAGCAGGAAGAGTGCAAAGGGCAAACAAAGCGTTCAGTTTGAATCCAGCACTAATTACTCTTTGGAAGGAAGAACCTATGTACACTTCAGATATTTTTATGTTTTGGTTCTAAACCTGTAAGCATACACCACAATGAAAGACCAGAGAGAAGCTATGTTTTGTAAGAAGATCAAACATGATTAAAACAAAGGTAAAGAAAAGAACATTATTTTCAATGGATTTCAATGTGTGGAATCTTTTGCCAGAAGCGCCCTTGACTTACAACAATTATCAAAGCAACCAGCCTTACTCCAAATCAAGCAAGGAAAAGGACAATTATGTTCAATCGCAAGTCAATATAGCGATACAAGCAAAGAAACACATAATACATGAGTTCCTACGCTATTACCTAACATGAGCTAACATAAATTGTCTTTATTATTGGATGCCCGGTAAGGTTTATCGAACAATTCATACCTTTTTACTTTTTACAAAGGACTGTATGTTCTCTATGGTGTTGTTTGTTATGTATGCTTGTGTGTGCGTTTTTTCTTGCTTTGGTTGTTCCAAGTGCTGTCTTTGTTGAAGTAAAAACAAAGCCCCAGGGGAAGAGCCCCCGTCTACATGCTATGTTTGGCGAACCATAGTCCCGTGGTGCTGTTTGGGCAAAGCCAAAGTGAAGCCTGAGGGAGCTACAGGCATGCAGTGCCACCTTTGCCTTCTTTTTTGAAGCATGCCGAAGAGAAACTCAAGATTGAAGCGAGGAGGTGACTCCTGGCACCGTTTGGGTAAACACAGGTAGCGCCAGGCAAGCGCGGTGTCACGTCAAAAAAGAGCCTTCTAGAAAACATGCCAAAAGAAGCCTGTAGCTTTGCCGATTTTAGGATTTGTTTCCAAAAACGTAGAAAGACACACGGCTAGAGGACAAAATGCCCGCTGCTTAATAGCTGTTGCAATTATCGGCACCTTCGGTGAGAGCAATTTGACCTAGTGTTGCGCACGTGTTTGGCATATTCTTTGGGAACACCAAGGTCATGTCCGGCTCGTGCCAGCAGCAGGAATGAACATGACAATCCTTCAGCCAAACTAATGAAACCAGAGGAAGCACGGAACTGGTGCAAATTCAGGACGGAAAGCTTCAGGAAAACAAGCACAACGCAAAAGGATGACGCACTCGAGACATCGTGAAACAGAGGGCAGTCCAACAATACTGCATCCTATGAGCCATGCAAGAAGCATCGCCAATATCAAATATGAAAATACCAAAACAAAAACATTCAACTGTTGTTAATGATGCTCTGAAAAACAAACACGATCAAACACGTCTGTAAGAACGCTTATCACATTGACATACAAAAATTCTCACGTTGCAACATTCCCAACCCGATTCCTAGCGTAGCATCAAGTACATGTGCACGTGTCGGGCCAGTCTTCTTCAGCATCGCATCAACATCGGGTGCAACTAGACATACCCCACCAGTAGCCCCAAGCCCCAGCCCCGACCCCGTCCCTACCGTAGCATCAATTGCACAAAGTACAAGAACATACAAGAACAAAAGGCCGCGTATTTCCTCAACAAAAACATGCATGGTAAAACATGTAGAATATTTTTTTCACCAGAGCGGCGAGAAGCGAAATTTGGCCAAGCACTATTTTGAAATTACGGTAGAATAGAACAGTGAACTTTCAGCAGGCGGCCGTTTGTCATCGTTTGTCCCCAGCCAACTATGGAGGGCATCGGAATCCAAAAAGACATTTTGGAGAGCAAGAGATGCGGTAGGAATTTCCCGGCAACTTTGTGGATTGCTTGGAAATTCTTTGCGGCTATTGCGCTGCACCATTTGCATGCTACTCTACCACAGCATACCATTTTGTCGGGTTTCTTTGATTATTTTCTTCATCTATTCTTCGACATTCAGCTTCGCAAGCTATGTTTGTGAACGCCTTCGTGCAAATGTCCATCTACAATGCTGGACAGCCGTATGTTAGTAATGAAGGAAATTTGCATTGCACCCCACTGAAGCCACCTTTTGTGCATGCTCAACTTGAAATATTTGTTGCGCATTGTTCGAGTCACAAAGTCGGTTGCTTCACGGGTAGGAATAGGAAGGAATTTGGAAGAGAGAATGCGACAAGCCATTGCACGGTCAATGCATACGTGTTGAAACGTTAATAGGCAAATTCATTTTGCAGGGAAAGAAGCGTGCGATGCTCGCTTTTGTTTCAAGATGTCTTAAGCTTAACCTATGTCTGCACGCCACTTCAAACCATTCACGCCAATTGCACTCCGCTAGGCCTTTGGTGGACTGGAAACTCAGGCGGCCAGCTGCACAGAAACCTGTTTGCCTTTTGCAACTTTTGCAAGAGGAATCTATGTGAAGCATCCTTGTCTTTGTGAATGTTTATGTGCTTTTGAAGATCTTGTGAATTGGAAGCACCTTTGCTTCAAGTGCCCTGGTGAATCTGATTCTTGCATGCCAAGGTTGGCGTGGGTTACGTGATTCAGGCGCCAAGTGCTTCCGTCACGAAGCGAGCAGCTGGCTCTCCAAAGGAGGCCATTGCACTCACTCTGGGATTCGCTTCTGGGCAGATTTAGCACCACCGCAATTATTGCCAGGCCTTTGGCGGACTGGAAACTCAAGTGGTGCCTTGGACAAATCAGAAGAGTGTAGGGTACTACCAAGCCAGTTGGTAGCTGGGCAATTCCTACCCTGTGCTCTGTGCTGCGCTTTGACTCAGGCTGGAGCAAGCTACTTGATGCAAGCACCATGTGCTTCTGCCAGTTCCAAGGGGAAGTCCGTGGAATCTCCGAAGGAGGCTTGGCCAAACACGCCCATAACCATGATAATTTTAATTTTTTGCCTCCTTTTCAACAGTTTACTGCAACAACTGGTCCGTTTGCGAAGCCTCAAGCTTTGCCAGGCCTTTGGCGGACTGGAAACTCAAGTGGTGCCTTGGACAAATCAGAAGAGTGTAGGGTACTACCAAGCCAGTTGGTAGCTGGGCAATTCCTACCCTGTGCTCTGTGCTGCGCTTTGACTCAGGCTGGAGCAAGCTACTTGATGCAAGCACCATGTGCTTCTGCCAGTTCCAAGGGGAAGTCCGTGGAATCTCCGAAGGAGGCTTGGCCAAACACGCCCATAACCATGATAATTTTAATTTTTTGCCTCCTTTTCAACAGTTTACTGCAACAACTGGTCCGTTTGCGAAGCCTCAAGCTTTGCCAGGCCTTTGGCGGACTGGAAACTCAAGTGGTGCCTTGGACAAATCAGAAGAGTGTAGGGTACTACCAAGCCAGTTGGTAGCTGGGCAATTCCTACCCTGTGCTCTGTGCTGCGCTTTGACTCAGGCTGGAGCAAGCTACTTGATGCAAGCACCATGTGCTTCTGCCAGTTCCAAGGGGAAGTCCGTGGAATCTCCGAAGGAGGCTTGGCCAAACACGCCCATAACCATGATAATTTTATTTTTTTGCTTCCTTTTCAACAGTTTACTGCAACAACTGGTCCGTTTGCGAAGCCTCAAGCTTTGCCAGGCCTTTGGCGGACTGGAAACTCAAGTAGTGTCTTGCTTGGACAGATCGGAAGAGTGTGGGGTGCGGGGTGCTGCCAAACCAATTCGTAGCCTACTTGGGCACGCAAAGCTGGGCGATTCCTACCGTGCGCTTTATCCTGCTTTGACTCAGGCTGGAACAAGCTACTTGATTCAAGCACCATGTGCTTCCACCAGTTCCAAGGGAAAGTCCGTGGAATCTCCGAAGGAGGCTTGACCAAACACGCATGAAGTCTGTATGGTGTAATTTGAATGCTTCCTCAAAGGGATCCCTGAGGCGCCAGTCACGGAAGGTAGAAAATAACTGCGGCAAAAGCAACCTCTGCTGCAAGAAGTTTTCATGCTACGATTACTACGTACGACTGGTGTGCTACATTCCTTCATTTTGGATGGGCTTTGCTGCCCCGCGTGATTCGTAGTTGTTTATTTTCCAGTCATGATGCGTCGAGCAGAAGCCGCAAAGCCGCGTTGGTGCTGGTCACAATCCTCAAGCTTAGCAATAGACGAGTTTCCAACATGTTCAAACAACGTCCAATGCATTTCTGTAACTTAGAATTTGTCTTGTGCTTCCCACTACCTTGATTAGACTATGCTTTGGGATGAAGTGAATTCTTTCTAGCACCGTCGCGGAACCCCTGGGTAAACTAAGACATTTGCATCACTAACCCCGACACTTCAAGCCATTTGCAGTCTTACTTCCAGATGAGCCAGTTTTCCTGCATGGCTGTAGTTTCATCCCAAACACAAAAACGACAACGTGATATTGCACCAATTCTTTCTGGCGCGCTCTTGTTTTGCGTTTGTGATCCGCTTTGCTTTCCAGGTCTTGTTTTTTTTGTCGGAATGTCAAGAACTCTTTTGCAACAACTTGTCCGCTTGCACCGCCTCAGTCTTTGCCAGGCCTGTGGCGGACTGGAAACGCAAGTAGCGTCTTGGACGAATCGCCGGGCCTCCGCGCACCAGCAACCTCTGGTTGTTGTTTTGGGCCCGTCAATCTATGACGTTTTGAGAGAAGGTAAAGGGGGTCCTCAAATTGATTTCATTGGGTTTGATTCTGTGCTGGCCGTTTGCTGAACTGCGTCTTGTCGACCTGCTGAAATGTATTTGACACTATGTTTTTACAATTGTTATTTCAGGGCCCCGTCTGTCGGAACTTTATTTGATGCTGTTGCTTTACATTGCATCGAGGATCGCGCCGCGCCAAGAGGAATGCTGTTTTGTTTGAAGCAGTTTTCACGGGCAACCGGATGATAGAGGGATCATATCGATATTTACGGAGCACCTGGAAGCAACCGCCGCATGTAGCTCAAGCGACAATCTGGATTGAGTATGGATCAATGGCTTGGAAGCTCCAAGATCGTGCGTGCGTTTTGAGCAGTATTGCCGATTACTTGTTGCATCCGAGGCTGAAGAATCTCCTGAATCGCCGAAATGCTCCACATCACCCCAGGCTTGCAGAAGTGATTGGTTTGCGCAAGCAAAAAAAATCAATGGCCCAATCACGTCCAAGCTGCTTAGCAAGGCGAAATCCCTTTTTCGGTGTCCGGAATGCAACGCGTTCGTGTCGAGCATGGAGGAGGTCAGCTTGACAGTTTGCTCTTGGCTCGCGTTCGCTCACCTGCCCCAGCAGATTTTGCTGCGTAAGTCACTTTTGACAAAAGCGTCTTGCAGCCGTGATTTCAAACCAAAGTGCCGTGAAGGCCTTGAAGCATTGTGGCACTTTGGGAGATGGAGGCCTTCGCGTCCCTTTCAGAAAGTGAGCCGTGGGGTATGGTGTGGTGGGGCTTGTAAGCTGCTTGAGGCCAGCCCACCAGCCCGAGCTGTTGGAAACTCAAGTTAGTGGCAATCGCGGACAAAAACATGCTAGATAGTGAGAGAGAGAGAGAAGCATGCATACATAAATATATATATATATATGAATATATGAATTTGAATATATATATATATATTCTTTTTTATTTATTTGTTTACTTACATAATATACGGTATACGTATATATAAATATATACATATATACATATATATATATTATATATATATATTAATACAAACATACACACATTCATTTTTCTTTATCTACTCATTTATTTGTTTACCAGCGTGCGTACGCGTGTTCCATGTTGCCCCCCACGTAGCATGGTCCCTCACCTTCCCTTCCAAAACCTCTATTTGCGCTATCTGAAACATGTCCGAGCCACGGCCTCCCATCCGCATGCCCTTTTTCCAGTAGGGATGCAACCAGGAGTTTGTTTTGGGAAGGAAACAGAGCTTTTGACAGGAGAAAGGGTAATTTTCCTGGTTGAAACAGACGTTTATAGACGACAGAAAGGTTTGTTTTACAAGCCGAAAACAACGTTTTTTTCGCTGCCCAAGCTTTGGCCTGAAAGGAGCGGAAAAGAAACAAAGGTTTTCCTCCCAAAACCAACCTTTCCCATGCGGAAAAGTAAGTTTCGGGGCTCGAAGCAAACCTTTTTCGGAAAAGTTAGATTGAAACTGGAAAGTCAAGACAAATTCCGTTGGAGCTAGCTTCAAACCTCGAAAACAAACCTTTTTTCGACTAGTTTGTTTGTTTGTGAGAAAACGGTTGATTCGGAAACGTTTGTTTTGGGTGCGGAAACAAACGATGTGACAAAACTTTGTTTTGGGTTGAAACAACTAACTGCCGCCCTGCCAGGTTGAAAGGTGTCTTTTTCATGGCCGTGGAATACTTTTGTTCCGAACAAGCGTGTTATCTGAAAAACTTCTAATTCGAAACGTTAGTTTCCAGCGATAAAACTCCCTTTCGAGCCGCGTTGGTTGTTGACCGCCACCGCCCAGTTGTAGCCATCATCGTCATCGTCGCTCTTATCCCTTTTCTTGTTCCTTTCCTTTGCATTTTTCTCGTGATTCCTCTTGTCGATGTTGCTGTTGTTGGTGCTGTTGTGCTTGTTGTTGTTGTTGCTGCTGCTGTTGTTTGTTCTTTGTTGTTGTTGTTGTTGTTGTTGTTGGTTTGTTGTTGGTTTGTTGTTGGTTTGTTGTTGGTTTGTTGTTGGTTTGTTGTTGTTGGTTTGTTGTTGTTGGTTTGTTGTTGTTGGTTTGTTGTTGTTGGTTTGTTGTTGTTGGTTTGTTGTTGTTGGTTTGTTGTTGTTGGTTTGTTGTTGTTGGTTTGTTGTTGTTGGTTTGTTGTTGTTGTTGTTGTTGTCGTTGTCGTTGTCGTTGTCGTTGTGCCTAACAAACCTTCGTACATCGGCAACGCTTTATTCAACAAAAGAGTTTGAAGACGTTTCACGGCAGGGTTTCCGTCCAGATATGTTCCGTAAGGATGCCTGCATTCACGAAGGTCTTGCACCAGCAACATTTCTGCATGCAAGATCCAGCCGGTCTATACCGGGCCAGAATGCCTCGAAACACATCAAGGCACCATCTGATTCCCAATCGCATTTGCCGGCTTTTGAACCTGCAGTACAAAAGCCAACCAAGCGACCGCAACTATTGTAACTATTGGCTAGGAGGCGGCCGCTGCAGCAGCGAAAACCGTTTCGGAATGGTGCATCCTTGGCCTAGAGAAGCTGACCGCCGTCGTCGTTTTGCATTTTTGCCGGCAAGTAAAGCGGTGCTTCGCCGTGGCTGCGGAAACAAACTTACTCCTTACCTGCCCCCAAAAAGACCCTAGTGTTGGAAACTTGCAACTAGAGTTTCGAAACTTTAGTTTTCTTGGCCAGTCTCTGAAACGTTTCCGGCCGGAACACAAACCTTTCCGGCTCAAAACCTTTGTTTCCGGACCCGGAAACTAACCTTTTCCCAGGGCTCGGAAATGTTTGTTTCGCAAACAAACCTTTTTTCCCAGAGTTAGTTTGTTTTCCTTCCCGCCCCCCCAGGCCAGCCAGGCCCCGGTTTGCGAAACAAACTTGTTCCACTTGAGAACTAACCCTTTTAACTTGGGTTTGAAACATGCTGACCGCATCCATACTCCCTTTTTCGAAAGCATAGCCACCTTTGTCCCACCTACAAAAGTACATGCCCCGCATACTACCTATATATTTTTCTATCTACGCACCTCTGCTACATAACATTCCATACAACATGCAAACTACCTCTTCGTTACTCACATATATTATTCTGGCCCCTGTTATGGCAATACACCTATATGCTCCCTTTACCCATGCGGCTTCTTATTCCACCTGCGTAGAAGCTACAGACCATTGACATATCATCGAAATATTACTTGAATATTGCCTATAATATATTGCTTGAGCACAGATCATGCACTACGCATCACCCACCCACTCCCCACCACAGACCGACGGGAGGAGATGTATTGCCTATATACTCTGCCTATTCGTTCTCTATACGTCTCTTGTATATTCATTATTTCCGCGCTACGTACTCCATATCCCACCCCCCCACCCCTCACCGGCCACCACAACGAACATACATCATGGATGGATCGATGAGTAAGATGGATGGATAGATAGATGGATGGATGGATGGATAGATGGATAGATGGATGGATAGATAGACGTTAGACCTTAAGCTTGTACTTATGTAGGCATAAGCGAAGTAATTTTTAAATTAAAAGACAGCTAAGACAAAATATTGCATGCGCGATTGAAATGTGATGCGATGCGATGCGAGGCTATATTGTGCTGCGTCGTGGTTTCTTTTGCGCCGTTTCCTGACTTATTTTGCGCTATTCTGCGGTGTTGCGTTGCGTCCTGTTTGCCTCAGCTGTCAGGTGATGTTTTAGGGAATTTTTGTCAGCACCTCCTCCTCCTCCTCCTCCTTCCCTTCATCCTCCTCGTCGCCTTCTCTCAAAACAAGGGCGCAGATAGATCTGTGCACATGAACGGGCCTCAAGCCCATGCAATCTCTCTGACTTTGCGTGGAACGTGACCGGATGGCAGGCTCAGGGATTCTGTCGCCGGGCGTTTGCCCTAGGCCAAACAGTTTCTGCGCGCAGCGCCTGGTGCGTTGCAAGCTTTGGAGAGACCTGACAGAATCTATGTCAGAAATTGCCAAGGTACATGTCGGAAAAGGCGGCCGAATAAAATTCAGAGAAGAAAACAGGATATCAGCCAAGCAGCATGTCAGAATATTTGTTGCACGTCCGTAGACATGTCAGAGATGTCAGAGTATGTGCCGCATAGGCTAGGGGATTCTGATGAAGATGTGCGAAGGAATGTCAGAACACACACTAGACAAGAATGGATCTTTGAAAAGATCCGTCAGGAACTGAGTCCTGTAACATGCAAATTAGATGAGAAACAAATTAACCTACATCGTACAACCCACGAATAATGGAAGTTCTCCGACTGATCTCCATGACCTGAATCGACATCAAATAGAATAGAATAAGGATCGAAAAGTTAACCAACCAAAAGTATTCCAAAAGTAATGTCAACGGCGACATAGATTTCGGCGAAGGTTTCCCAAAAAATATGCTCGGCGACATAGTGTCGGCGATCATGCTCAATAAAACAAGAGAGCTGGCCGCTGTGGGAGTGCACTTTTTTCCATGCAGTCATTACATTAATCATTATATTAGTCATTATATTAGTCATTATATAAGTCATTAAATAAATCATTATATGAATCATTATATGAATCATTATATGAATCATTCTATGAATCATTATATTAATCATCAAATGAATCATAAAATGAATCATCATTATATCAGTCATTAAATAATTCATTAATTTAATCATTTTATTAATCATTATATTAGTCATTATATATATATCATTAAATTAATCATTATATTAGTCAATAAATTAACAAGTATATCAGCCATTACAAAAATCATTATATTAATCATTATCTTAGTCATTATTAAAGTCATTAAATAAAGCATGAAATGAATCACTATATTTATCATTATATGAATCATTATATTAATCATTATATTAGTCATTGCATTAGGCATTATATGAACCATTACATTAATCATTATATGAATCATGATAATAATCATCATATTAATCATTAAATTCTTCATTTTAATAATCATTAAATTAATCATTATATAAATCATTATATTCATCATGATATTGATCATTTTATTTATCATTTTATTAATCATTATTTTAGTCATTATATGAATTACTATTTTAATCATTATATTAATCAGTATATTAATCATTATATCAATCATTATACTAATCATTTTAACATTCATTATATTAGCCATTGTATTTATCATTATATTAGTCATTAAATTAATAATTATATTAATCATTATATTAATCATTTTATTAATCATTACATTACTCATTACATTACTCATTATATATAAACTCATTAAACTAGCCAGTATTTTACTCATGATATTATAATCATTGTATTCATCATAATAGTAATCATTATATTAATCATTCTTAAAATATAATCATGATACTAGTCATTATAAAAGTCATTAAATAAATCATGAAAGGAATCACTATATTTATCATTATATGAATCATTATATTAATCATTATATGAATTATATTAGTCATTGCATTAGGCATTATATGAACCATTACATTAATCATTATATGAATCATGATAATAATCATGATATTAATCATTAAATTCTTCATTTTAATAATCATTAAATTAATCATTATATAAATCATTATATTCATCATGATATTGATCATTTTATTTATCATTCTATGAATTACTATTTTAATCATTATATTAATCATTATATTAGTCATTATATTCTTGAAAAAATAAGTCATTACATTAATCATTATATTAGTCATTATATAAGTCATTAATGAATTTTGGTTTTTCCATTGTTTTTTTTGCAGTTTGGCCTGGGGGGCGCAGGTGTGCAAATTGTAGAGACGCGCATTTTTTTGAGAGGTACTGTGATGAAAGCATCTTCACATGAAAAACATTCAAAACAACAATGGAAAAAACAAAAAAAAAGTTCAGACCCATGGGCAAGGTCTGGGAGAGGCCTGGCAGGGGACATGGGTCTGAACTTTTTGTTTTCTTGGTTTTTCCATGGTTTTTTGCAGTTTGGCCAAAAACCTCGAGAACACAAAAAGAAAAGTTCAGACCCATGGGCAAGGTCTGGGCTATCCACACACAAACCAAAAAACCAAAAAAACAAAAAACCAAAAAAACAAAAAACCAAAAAACCAAGAAACCAAAAAACCAAAAAACCAAAAAAACAAAAAAAACAAAAAAAACAAGATTGCACACCACAAGAGGAGGGGGTCAGATGCAGAGTGTTGGGTCTTGTCTTTTTGTTTTTTTTGTTTTTTTTGGTTTTTTGGTTTTTTGGTTTTTTGGTTTTTTGGTTTTTTGTTTTTTTGGTTTTTTGTTTTTTTGGTTTTTTGGTTTGTGTGTGGATAGCCATTGCAGATGTGCCAAGCAGAAATTGCCAGGCACTGTCAGTGGTTGCACTAGAGGTCGGGCAGGCAAAAACCAAAAAACCCAAAAACCAAAAAACCAAAAAACCAAGAAACCAAAAAAACAAAAAACCAAAAAACCAAAAAAAACAAAAAAACCAAGATTGCACACCACAAGGGGAAGGGGTCAGATGCAGAGTGTTGGGTCTTGTCTTTTTGTTTTTTTTGGTTTTTTTGGTTTTTTGGTTTTTTGGTTTTTTGTTTTTTTGTTTTTTTGGTTTTTTGGTTTTTTGGTTTTTTGGTTTTTTGGTTTGTGTGTGGATAGCCATTGCAGATGTGCCAAGCAGAGATTGCCAGGCACTGTCAGTGGTTGCACTAGAAGCAAGGTCGATACACTACAGTACAGCAATGTTTGCTATGACATAGTGCATTCAGCCAATGAACAGCAGAGAGGAATGGAATTCAATTTTGTCCGGTTGCGCCATATGCTGTTGGATCTTTGCACAGGAAATGCTGCAATTTGCGCACTCCCACAGTGGCCTGTTCTGTAAAACAACGTCATCGTCGTGGATCATGAACCAAATAACAATGAAATCAACGGAAAGTTCATAAATGTGTTGGGTGAGGTCCTTGGCTTAGCCTCTTGCCACAAACGGTCGGACCACTGCAGGTACGTCAAAGGGACGTCTCCCTTCGATATCACTGTGACTTCTGGCCGTCTTCGTTGGCACAGGAACCAGAGTCACACCTGTGCCCGCTGCAGAAATAAATTACGTATGTATATATATATATGAGTAAATATCATATGAAATTTCCCGGCGAGAGCCATGATGAATTTCAGAGCACATGTCAGAATATATGTCACATGAAAGTTGCCAGATCAAATGTCTGACTTTTGTCCAGATAGCATGGTTACATAGCAAAGTATATGTCAGGATAAGTGTCCGAATTTATGTGAGGGGATATGTCAAAATAGGTTTGAGAATATAGAATAATACAGAATATATTTCATGATTAATGTCTCATCATTTTGTCATATCTTTCCATGGCGATCATACGAACTAGAATAAGTTTTGTTGTTATGCCGCTGTTTGTCGTTTATGTCGTTTCACGTCAAGGAGGTTTGTAAGCATATCATACACATAGAAGCGCGCCTGGTTTCTTGGCATTTGATGCGGATGTTTTGGTTTCTGCTTTGAGTCTTTGAGGCCTACCTTCAGGTGAGGCCATTGCATTCGATGAGCCCCATCCCGAGGGGCCAGGGTTTTTGCTGACATTCAGGGTCTTGCCGCCTTGCCGAATTGAAGCGTTTGGGGCCCAGGCAGGGGAGGATGCTGATCGTAAGGGTGACCCAACCCACAGGAGAGCGAGAAACAGTTGTGGGTGCCTCAGCTAGCGCCTACAGGGAAGAGTGCTGTACATGCTAAAACAATGCAACCCAATGAATTGCAAACACTTGTTCACGACCCACTGCAGTGTTGGTTTGACATCATGTGGATGGACTTGCTGTTCCCACAACAAAATATTGTTTTTAAAATTGCCCACAAGATTAGATTGCAAGCGCAGGTAAGGCTGCCAGATGGACAACAACGGACTTTTGATGCTTCATCAGTCAAGAAGATGATCGAATCCCCTGAGAAGGAAGTTTCAGAGTTTCTCGGAAGCAGGTTTTCAACAGCGAGCGTAAAAAGTTTGGACCTGCGCAGTCCGAGGTTTCTTGAGAACCTGAGCCATACAGAGTTGCGTGGCCTAGTTCATGAGGCTTGGCAATTTTGAGCACACCATCTTCGCCAGATTCCTTTGTTCAGACATGTTGCCTGCATGGCCACCTCATTGCGCGGTGGTAGTGTAGGGCTCCGGGCCCCATGCTGTTTCATTGGACAGGTTGGCCAGCGGCTTCTGGAGGGCTCGCGACTGTATCACAGCAGGCTTGCTGAGCTTGACAGGCTGGAACCAAGATGTTTGTAGTTTGGAGCCCTTCAAAGGTAGAAGTAATGAGAGAAGATCGTGTCTAATAAGCGAACTGGCAACTGTATGCTCCATCATCGTTTAGAATCGGCTAAAACGAATACATACATATATAGTCAATATATATATATATATTAATATATATGTGTGTGTGTATAAATAGGGCTACCACCCTGGTGCCGCCGACCCCCCTTTATAGGGGGCATGGCAGTGGAAAGAAAGGAGCAATTTCGCATCCAGAACGGTCTTGTTGCGGGGCGCCTGCATAGCCATGCCTGCCCATAATGCGGCACGGTCGTTCAATCAACGCTTGCATCAGGGCAAATCCGCGTAAAGCACCAAATTTTGCAGGCCGTGCCTGCAAGACAGAATCGTGGAAAGCGTGAAGAAGTTCTGAACGATTTCCGAAACATGCCAAAGCCAGCCACCAGCTCGGAAAAAAGCACCTGTGCTCGAACAGTGTGGCCGTGAAGGGCGAAGGCGGCACGCCCCTGCCCCGTCTGAAGGCCTAACATCGCTTTCTGAAAATGGGTCCCAAACGATTTCAGAAGCAGCCGCCAGCTCCGGAAGGGCTGAAGGCTTAACGCCGCTTTCTGAACGGTCAAGCAATAATGCCAAGAGCAGCCGGCAGCTCGGGGAAAAGCACCCTTTGCCAGGCTTTAACAGCATGGCAGTGAAGGACGCAAGGCTTCTCGAAAGGAAGCTCGGTTGTGGCCCATTTGCTCGCTTTGAAACGCCTATAGAGCAAGGTTCAAAGGCCAGCCAGGCTCAAAAACGTACCGCCAGCTCGGGGAACCCTTCGCCACCCTGTAACACCATAGCAGTCAAGCAAGCAAGGCTTCGCGCCGCTGCTCTCGAACGGCAGCTAGGTCGTGGCCCATTTGCTCGCTTTGAAACGCCTATAGAACAAGGTTCAAAGGCCAGCCAAAAGGCTCAAAAACGCACCGCCGGCTCAGAGAAAGCTTTAACAGAATGGCAGTGAAGGACGGAAGGCTTCGCGCCGCTGCCCGGTTGGAAGGCATCAGGTCGCCTTCTGCACGGTCAAAGAAGAATGCCAAGAGCAGCCGCCAGCTCGGGAGAAAGCGCCCTTCGCCACGCTTCAAAATAACAGCATGGCAGTGAAGGACGGAAGGCTTCTCGAAGCGCAGCTAGGTCGTGGCCCATTTGCTTGCTTTGAAACGCCTATAGAACAAGGTTCAAAGGCCAGCCAAAAGGCTCAAAAACGTACGTTCTGCCACACCGAAACAGCATGGCGCTGCGGGGCAGATCGTGCCTTCGAAGGGCAGCTGGTCGTGGCGCCGTCAGCTCCTGAACTGCTTCTCAGTGAAGGACGGAAGGTTTCGCGCCGCTGCCCGGTCGGAAGGCATCAGGTCGCCTTCTGCACGATCAAAGAAGAATGCCAAGAAAAGCCGCCGGCTCGGGAAAAAGCGCCCTTCGCTACGCTTTAACAGCATGGCAGTGAAGGACGGAAAGCTTCTCCAACGGCAGCTAGGTGGTGGCCCACTTGCTCGCTTTGAAATGTCTATATAGAACAAGGTTCAAAGGGCAGCCAAACAGCTCAAAAGTTTACCGCCAACTCGGAGAAAGCACCCTTCGCCACGCTTTAACAGCATGGAAGGCTTTGCGCCGCTGCCCGGTCGGAAGGCATCAGGTCGCCTTCTGCACGGTCAAAGAAGAATGCCACGAGCAGCCGCCAGCTCCGGAAAAAGCACCCTTCGCCCTTCGCCACGCTTTAACAGTATGGCAGTGAAGGACGGAAGGCTTCTCGAAGGGCAGTCAGGTCGTGGCCCATTTGATCGCTTTGAAATGCCTATAGAACGAGGTTCAAAGGCCAGCTAGGCTCAAAAACGTACCGCCGGCTCGGAGAAAGCACCCGTCGCCACGCTTTCACAGCATGGCAGTGAAGGGCGGAAGGCTTCGCGCTGCTGCCCGGTCGGAAGGTTTTGTAGGCAAGCGGTGAAAAGTACTGTGCGCACGGATCAAGTTGGCCACCGCTGTACGGTCAAACAATAATGCCAAGAGCAGCCGGCAGCTCGGGAAAAAGCTCCTTCGCGACGCTTTAACAGCATGGCAGTGGAGGACGGAATGCTTCTCGAAGGGCAGCTAGGTCCAGGCCCATTTGCTCGCTTTGAAACGCCTATAGAAGAATGTTCAAAGGCCAGCCAGGCTCAAAAACGTACCCCCAGCTCGGCCTTCGCGCCGCTGCTCTCGAACAGCAGCTAGCTCGTGGCCCTTTTGCTCGCTTTGAAGCGCCTATAGAACAAGGTTCAAAGGCCATCCAAAAGGCTCGGAGAAAGCACCCTTCGCCACGCTTTAACAGCATGGCAGTGAAGGACGGAAGGCTTCGCGTGCTGCGCGGTTGGAAGGCATCAGGTCGCCTTCTGAACGGCCAAAGACGAATGCCAAGAGCAGCCGCCAGCTCGGGAAAAAGCACCCTTCCCCACGCTTTAGAATAACAGTGGCAGTGAAGGACGGAAGGCTTCTCGAAGCGCAGATAGGTCGTGGCCCATTTGCTTGCTTTGAAACGCCTATAGAACAAGGTTCAGAGGCCAGCCAAAAGGCTCAAAAACGTACGTTTTGCCACGCCGAAACATCATGGCGCTGCAGGGCAGTTCGTGCCTTCGAAGGGCAGCTGGTCGTGGCGCCGTCAGCTCCTGAACTGCCTGCCAGTGAAGGAGAACAGACCGCTGTTGATGCTTCGCAGTCTTGGGCGCCTTCCCCTGCAATGGCAACGGCAGGGGTCGGCGGATACATTATATGTATTTGCATGTACACAATCAATCGTGCAGGCGGCTAAAGAAAATTCCGCCGACAAGACTGTAGCACATTTTGATCCTGGTTGGCATTTCAACTATAAAACTAGTGGACTTGGGTCCTCTGTAAAAAAAATCAATGGTTTTTACAGCCCCTTCAGGACCATGCGCCTTTGCATTTTGTGGCAACCCTAGATCATATATGTTTTCAGATTCAAAGATGGGTTGGGTCATAGTACTTCGTAGTGGTTAAGTATGCGAGATCATAGTCGACCCAAAATGGATATCTGAATTCACTCCGATTTGCCCTAAAAGTACCTTGTAGTGAATTTGTAGGGTTCCACGTTCAATACTAATATTTCCCCAGAGTAGGTTTCAATTTAAATAATAGCGGGCCGTTGCAGTTTGTAGAAAAGACATTTTCGCAGTGCTCGAGTGAAATCACTGCTGAATTTGCGCTGCCATGTCTACTTCGACCCAACAACTGAGAAAAACATGCACAACACACACAAACCCAGGATTGGACAATTCATTTCGATTGATGCTCCCAATCTGTCACTTTGCTTTTCACTGCAAAGTCAACCAATACCGCACAAACATACCCTTCAATTACATTGGCCGCTGCATACCCAAAGCCCAAAAAGGTCCATTACAAAATCAAATTGCAGCGTTCCAACGCTACAAAATCCACTACAAGAAATCTTTATCCCTCTCCCATGGCAATCACCTACTGTCATCGATCATCACAAGACCACACACGACCATGTTTTCTGGCGCCTGGATTTGTCATTTAATTTCTTACCTTCAAAAGACAATTCTGTTCACTTCTTTGCCCAAATTAGAATCGCGACTTTCTGGACTATCACCGTTTGCTGTTACTTACGGATATGCGTCCATGTCCATGCAGCTAGATTTGGAGATGTGGGGAATAGTTTCCCGGGTTTCGCTTGGGTGTTGCTGCGTTGTAAGGCAAAACAGAAATCAAATGAACATTGATGCGCAACAAAATACAACAGCAAAAACATGTGCCCTCTGAAGTGCCCTGACTGAAAGCCAATGCCAGTCACTACAAAATGTAACTACAAAATCAAACATATGCACCATCTTGCAGCATCAGAAGAAATAATTGGGACAAATGCCCACTAAACTCCCTTCCCGCCATCTGGTTGTAAAGTTCAGCATTCAATGACCATTTTGTCTCAAGGTTTCAGGTAAAAGGGTGCCCCCGCAGCTTGTCTTACTGGCCCCCTGTTTTACCTTTATTGCCTAAATCATTGGGTTACCAGCCATAGGCTCCCATTGGGTTTATACCTACTTCCACTTTCACTTTCATATATACTTTGGATATTTCCTATCTCCCTTCACCGACGCCATAGTCTGGGAACTTTGGCACCTCGCCGCGCACACCTGGAGCTCCGCGTGGAGGAACTTCTGCAAAGAGAAAGATCAGAAGGGAGATTCGGTTGGCGCTGGAGCACCAGTGGTGGGGGTGGATCGCATCTTTCTTTGGAGTTTGGTGGAACGTTGCCGAGTCAACACAGTCGGACAATCCGAGCAGTTCCCATCCTTCAAGTGGACCAGCGCACGCCCGAACCTTGCCATTGAAGGCTAAAGGCGCAGCAAAACCGAAAGTAAGTCCATCAGACGGGCGGCACTCATCTTCAGCAAGCTCTAGTTCACAGGGCCGGGGTACAGTCAACATGGTTGATCTAACCCACATTGAATCAGAAGACGAGTCGCCAGACGAACCCGTGCAAGTTTTCTACGTGCCGGATCTGCGATTGGTGAGGCAGCTGGCTGAGACTGCCAGCAGTGTGAGGGAGCGGGTTTTCGATTTGCCAGAATCCATTCCAGGTGTCTGTCTCTTGAACGAGCTCGCATTTTCTGGTCTTGAGGGATCTGGTCCACAAGATTTCGATTTGCTAGCAGAAGGCCTGAAGCGTTGCGTGGAATTCGACATCTTCAAAACCTTGGTCTTTCCTCAGAGATTAGCTGACAGGAGCCAGGAGCAAATCTGCCTTGCCCGACACCGTGGTGAATTGCAGGTGATCCACAGAAAGACTGCAGAACTCTTGCAGAATCTGTCGTTTCGTGGGTTTAACTTTTGTGCAATTTTTTTCATTGGGAAGAACAATCAGCAGGATTATTGCAGGGCATTGTCAGAAGCAAGCCTCCTTTCGTTGATACCAATCCTCTTCATTGTGTTCGACCGTGAATCGAAGGCC